TTCCCAAGTGGAATTTCCTCTCCAAGAATTTCTCGAACAATGCGACTTATTCAAGTTCTTCTGATATGGACTTTGTTGTGTCCGTCTCTTCTGGTACCTGGAAATACCTTGGCACCTAATAGGATTCCGTCGCCCCTTTCCCTTGGTTGACTTCGCTTGGCTCAGGAACATACACCGACTCTTGTAATTGCTATGTTGCATGCTCATTCCCTTTGCTACTGGACAGTGAGATTGCATTCATCTCCCTTGTTGCAGGTTGGTTACCTCTTATTTGTCTAACTCCCTCGAGATTTGGATATTTTAGGAACTGATGATACGCTGACGATACAACCTTCATTTCGTGCCGCCATGGTCTCTTTATCACCCCCTCGGCATTTCTGGGCAGCAAGATTTCTCCTCGGTTTGTCACACTTGCTAGATTGAACTCGACGAGGGGTTTTGTGGCCGGAATGATACTTCGGCTTGCTACAACACTCTCCATTGAATGATATTGGCCAAACATCCTGTATCCACCAGAACACGTTTAATCTTGAAATCTAAGACATTTAGAGAAATTACCACGGCGTCGTTATGCGGTAGCAACAGTCCATCAGCATCTTCCTCCATAAAAGTGATGTCGTCTTCAGCAACTTCCCGGAGTCTTTTGCTGTGGGTCACTGATACTTCGTCTTTTTCGCAGCTGAAAATGTAACCCCGTTGATCTCGTTCCCCTGAGAAGGGCATCTTTCAGCAATGTCGCCACCTCTTCGCGCAGATGTCGGTAGCCCCCAGTCCCGTGACCATTTGTCCCATGATATTCGCACCATAAATTAGGATCCCTCAGGTAGGGATCAGATCTCATTGGCTTCGGGAACCGTGCTTCTTTAATGTTCCTTATGGACGATACTAGCTCTACTATGCTGACATTGAAGTTGTGCTCAGAAAGCCTGGGGTAGAAGGAATCTGACATTTCCTTGTTCTGCAAGGACCTATTATTTTGGTCGCGATCGGTTCTCCTATTAGTAGAGAATTTATCAGCCGACCAAAAACTTCTGCCACATCCTTCGACCCGTTCACATGGCAAACTCCTCAAAGACTACCGACCTGTATCGAAATCGTCCTTCGATTTCTCTTTCCTCTTCTCCCGGTCACGACCTTTAATCGACGCTAGGAAACTGAGTTAATCATCTTCAATCCTTACTTTAGACTCGTACTGATACTAAATATCCGCCCAAGTTGTTGCCTGGAACTCGAGCAAATTTTCTTTCAACTTTCGGGAAGCGTCAGAACTTCTCAGATTCAGACCTTTGGCGAATTCTTCAGCCGCCTATTCGTCCGGAACGACTGGTAGCAACATCCTTTCGTTTTGGAATCTGGTTACGAACTCCGGCAACAACTCAGACTCTCATTGCGCAATCCTAAATATATCAGCCTTTCGGGCCTATACTTTTATGGCCCTAAAATGGGCCTTGATGAAAGAATCTGCGAGCATCTCAAAGGAGTCTATGGAATGCTCGGGCAAAACCGAATACCACGTCAGGTCTCCCTTCGTGAGAGTCTCCCCGAATTTCTTCAACAGAATGGACTCAATCTCGTTGGGAGCTAAGTCATTTCCCTTCACCTCCGTTGTATAGGTGGTGATATGCTCATGAGGATCCGAAGTCCCATAATACTTCGGCACATCTGGCATTTTAAACCGATTCGGGATCAATTCTAGTGTCGCGCTTGGTTTGTATGGCAATTATGTATATTTCTTTGAGACCGACACTTTCAACACTGGTGGTGCACCCGGAATTTGATCTATTCGGGCGTTTACTTCCCTCATAAATCGCATGAGTTCGATTTTAAAGGGATCACTCTCGTTGTTGTGACAGGATCCGTTCCTCTCGGACCCATCAGAGCTGACCTCACCCCTCAGGGTGTTGTTGTCGACCCTCTGTGTCGTTCGGTTTACGGGAGCATCGGGAAGGACTGGGCCTCGCCCATTCGCGTCAAAACGCCTGCTTCAGTTCCGTCATAACCTTATCATGTCGTGTGAGATGGCCTATAATGGCCTCATGTTGCTCTTGCAAGACCCTGACCGCTTCAACGACGTGCTCTTCTTCAGCATCATCAGGAGTTTCCTCCCGAACATATCGAGGATATCGGCCGCTGTGGACTGGCGTGGCCTCGTTCCCCTATTGCGTGTATCACTAATTGAATCATCGTTTGAGGCTGATTTCATTGGGCCTCAACGTTGTGTATTGTTAATACCATTATCTGCCATTTTTAATAATTTTTGCTAAGAACAAAGAATCAAAGAAGTTAGTAACAGATGTAGGGATCAATTCAATTACACGACTGTCTATGCCTGACGATGGGCGCCAAACTGTTTACCTATAAAACGGTGCAGTTGAATTTATATGTAGTTTATAGGGAAGTGAATTAATTTGATCCAAAAATAATAGATGAATTAAATAGAAATATAAGACTTAGCCTTAAAATTGAAATAAACGACATATATCGTGATTCCGGGCGTAGAGCTACCGGGAACAATAAGAATAACACAAATAAGCAAGAAAGTAAAGTGTTATTAATCTTTTGATAGAGTATAATGCCTGTTTGTCAGAAAATTCATGTCCTTTACAATGATGATAGAGCTTACTATTTATAGCTGCACCTAAGGAACAACGTTCTAGGATTAAGCTCCTCTTTAATGACGATTATGAGGTCCCTTGAAGGATATGTAATGGGGGAGGGGGGAATGAATGTCATATTCTCTGTAATGGACCATGCACTTAATGTTTTAGAATATTCTTCATTGAATGCTACCGGATGACATCATTAATTTTGTTGTTATGAGTATCATTCTCTCCGGCGAAAAGCGAGATCATTACCTTCGGATTTGCCTATCTTCTGCCTTCGGTTCCACGTGTCGCTTTCTCGTGCCATCATTAAATACGAACATATTTTACCCCATACACATGTATAAGATATTACGTAATCAATGCATATAAAGATACAAATAAATTAACATATTGTGTTATAGTATCATATACTACTCTATTCAAGTAAGATATATAATTTATCAAAAAGTATACAATTCTATATAATCTATATGCTATTATATAAAACTTACGTACATAGGAACATAAATAATAATGTTAAATTATCTCCTAAAATTGTTCTCATATTTGTTTTTTCTTTTAGGTTTAACTTTTTTAAGAAGTTTATTAGAATGTATATTTACATTTTAAGGTTAAAATTAGCAATTATGATTGAATTAAAAAATTATTTACCCGTAAAACGGTACAGTTGAATTTGTTGCGTGGTTTATAGACAAGCGAACTGATTTGATCCAGAAATGATAAATAAATTAAATAAAAATATAAGACTTAGCGTTAGAATCGAGATAAATAGTAGATAACCTGGTTCCGGGAGCAAGGCTTCCGAAGGTAACAAATAGAACAATGTCAGACAGAAAATAAAGTATTATTTAGCGTGAGAATAGTGTGTAGCCTAAGCTTGTCAGAGATTTCGTGTCCTATAATAGTTGTTGAAGTCACTATTTATAGTTATATCTAGGGAACAAGGTCCTAGGATCAAGCCCTTTTTAAATGACAATAAAGGGGGCCATTGTCGAATATGTAATGACATGTCATAAATGCCAAAATTTTCTGCAACGGCTGCGTATTTAATATTGAGGAATATTCTTCATTAAATGTCATCCGACGACAAATATTCATTTGCCTCCGTTGACTGCGTTCCCTTCGGAATCTACTCGGTACCAACCGAAATTATTGTCTTCGGTCTTGGTTCCACTCGCTTCATCTTCCGTATGCCTCCAGTTTCATGTGTCACATAGTCATTCGAGCATTTAATATAAATCTATTTTATCCTATACAAAAATCTAGAATAAAATAGTCAACATTTCAAGCATTGATGCTAAGAAATAGATTATTTTTTTTGTGAGCAGAATTCATATTGAAACAAAGCTCTTTCCACATACCTCAACTTGCCTGTACAAGATATCAAGACTTTGAATTGCATCCTTCTCGTTCTGAAAACCCAACAATGATATATTGCATGCATTTGATTGTACTATACAAGCACAGAACGTAAAGGTGCATATTCTTTTATTACACCAAATTATTAAAAAAGAAAAGAGAGAAAAAAGAGAGATAGCTATACCCACTGCCATGCTTCCTCGCAACAACACTATATTATGCAAAGAATGCACAGCTCCTTATGAAAGTATTTTAAACTCAACAAGGTGGAAAACAAAAAATTTGCATGACAGAATTGTCAATGAACGATACTTAACAATAAAATTAGGTGAAATATCACACATGTTGCATTTCGTGATTTAACAGCTACAGTGAGTCTTTTAAACTTCATCATTTAATTGGGGAAAACCTTGTCTAATTCAACTCCGAATTTATTACTGTACAAGTGTATGCGAAATTTTAAAGCAGACGTGTTTCCCTTAGTTAATCTAAACTGAAACGTTTGAGCTCATAAACATAAAACAAAAAAGTGGTAGACTAATTCCAAGAAAGTAAATAGACTTCACTAATTGCGTGGCAGTTACAGGGAACTTCATGCCAATGACTTCCCATTTAATTGATTTATTATCATTTATTGGAAGGAAAATTTACTATTTGGTACAACAATATTAAAGAGTAGTGTTTAAATGAGGGATAAAAATGTCTTTTAATTTTTTATGAATATTTTGGTAAATCAACTTTACAACACATGGTCTTTCCACTTGCAATATTTATNATATATATAAAGTTGGAACAATAAAAAATGAGTTAGCATATTTCTTTGACCAAGTATTCTATTTATCTTTTTTCTCTTTTTTAACTTTTTTCTTACTTTCTATTTATCTTATCTTATTGGTATAAGAATAAATGTCTCAATCATTACTACTACTCTCTTTTCTATTCTTTATTGAAAAAAACGTTGTAAAAAATATCTCAACAGTTTCTATTCCAGCCTTTCATATTCCTCCTTATTGTAACTGATCATTCCATTCGTAGTCCTCATAATGGTCCCTATTTCTAACTTTTAGTACTATAAGAAAATGAGCTCTAATTTAGGTGCAGCCCTAGCTGTCGTCTTTTGCCATTTGCTTCCAAGAGTTCCCAACTACATCCAATTTATCTTTTCTTTGAATTCCCAGTTCTTCAAGCTTTCTATTAGAATGCATGTGAGTTATTTTGCGGCAGCCAACTCGAAAGAGGACACGGTAAACTAAATTTCCTTACTATTTTCTAAGTTTGTTCTATTATAGAGGTCTTATGTATAGCATTCCACAAATGTCCAATCATCATCTTATAACTATTCCAAAAAATTGAGATTTACATTTTCTGGTTTTGACCGGCGGTTCTATTTTTTTTAGTGATATGAGTGGATAAGCAATTGTTCATCGACAATTGTAGTGATCATATGACATTTAAGTTTCGCTGCTAAGGGGAAGGGGGTGTTGTCATTGTTGATGCATCTATGGAGGAGCAAACATGGAAGAAGGTACTTGTAAAAGCGTCTTGTAATACAATGTTATGCTTCACTTGAGTATCTTCACCCAAAAGAATAAATGTGGTTGCTGGAAGGCATCTATTTTTTCTTATAATTCAGATATTTAGACGACTTAATTTTACTTAATGTATATTGTTTATTTTCCCCTTTTAGTTTTTCGTCTTTAATTTGTTCTTTTTATATTATTTTATTTATGTAAGCAATAGTTTTCCTTTTTCTTTAGTTTTTGTGGGTGTGCTTATTAGAGATGTGATAAGATAGGGATGTTAAATGGTAAATTTTCTCATCGTATGGAAATTAATCGATTATTACTTTTCTGCAAATTAGAAGGTTTTTTATTTTGGTTTCTGAAAAATAATGTCAATATAATTAATTGTATTTTGTCTAGAACGAAGTGATTGGTTGAGCAAAAAAATTCAAAACAACTATTTGTCTTACTTATGGTTCAAAACTTCAAGATTTTTTTCCAATGGAAAGGAGTGAATTGTGGTCAAATAGTTTTTAGTTATATATATTAAGGGGAAGTTTGATTTGTTAGAAGTGGTTTGCAAATCTTTAGATGTACATAATTTCGTTTGTTTAGTGAACTTGTAATTAAAAGTTATAGGTGTTAGAATCGGTTTAGAATGAAAGTTCGAGATTGTTTATCCGAAAAATCGGATAATGTTAAATTTATGTATGGTTCTAAGGATATGTAATACCCTTTGATATAAAGATAACAATACAAGTATTTTTATTATGAGAATGACAATGATGAACATAAAGAATGAATAAGATCCAGTCAAACGAGCACAAGGAGATATCTTTGTATATGAGAAAAGATCTTTTTGTTCCAATCTATAACGTGTATTCAGTGTGTGCATAGCTCACAAGAATTTTCCCTTTTATAGTAGAGGGTCATTACAAAAACTAATAAAATAAAGCATATAGTGGAGGACCCACGATAATTTGTCCCTTCCTCGATTCCCGCCAAGATTCTCTCTCTTGGTGCGGTTGCAACGGCTCTTGTCTGTGAGCTCGATACTAGCTCGAACTCATTACTGGGTCGAGCCCTTCGGTCTTGGCTCGAGTTCGACCTTCGGGATGTGCGTCGCACATTTCCAATCTTGAAGTAATGCCTTGCGGATCGATTCGATCACGGGCTCGATAAGGTTACTGAGCCGACGCCTCGAGCGACCTTCGGTCTCGAGGCTCGTTAGTACTGACTTCAGAGCTCACTCCCAAAATTCTACTCCGACTTCTTACCACTTGAACTCGATCGAACGTAGGAAGGCCGAAATCTATTTCGACCGTATACAGATAGTCCCTCATTTCTCATGAAGGATGCAGTGAGAATCGATGTGATTTTCGATGGTTCGATCGGGTCGTAAGTCGACGTTTTAACAGAGATCGATTATGACGTATGTGATAGCTGTCCCATCGATTTAGCCTTTCAAGGTATTTAATGCTTGTCAGATGGCGGTCGGCCACCTCTGATATTGAACCGTCATGATGCGAGCCTATAAATAACTCTTCCATCTAACATTTACCACTTTTACGCATTCATTCCTCCAAATTTTCTCATCTTTTCTTTCTATCTCGTCGCTAACAGAGTTTTGGTGTCGTCAATTTTTCACTTTCCTTTGTCTTTCTTCCTCTCGTATCAATGGCCAAAACTTTGAAAACTGTACCTCAGAAGGAGAAAGCTTCTTCTTCACGGTCGGCCGATGACAAGGCGCCGGTGGAGCCGTCCACCTATGACTACGTTCCTGGCCCGTGTACTCTGAAGATCGATTTCAAGGTTGAGAATCCTTCATCCGTCCCGGGCCGATGTGAGCACGTGTCGATGTATATGTGCTCTATAACGGAGGGTCATCTCGAGGCCATTAGAAAAGACTGCAACTGGGGTCCCGAGGTTGTGTTGCAAATTCCATCCCCCGAAGAGAGCATCATCACCCATGTGGAGGGTTTTTAAGTATTTATACTTATTCCTTCACATTGGGTCCGATCGACCCGGTGATCATTGAATTTTGCAAAAGATATCAGGTCACCCTCGGTCAAATTCATCCCTCTCTATGGCGTATAGTAATCCTACTTCGCTTCTTCTCCATCAAAGGCGGGTGGCTGGATTTGATGTCGAGCATCGAAGACTTTGATGTCAAGCATCGACGAAGACAAGGATCGGGGTTGGATGGGGAGTTATATTTGGGTGAGGACCCGTTACCTTATTCCGAAAGAGAAGATGCCGTTCCCCGAGGAATGGAATTTTGACCGTACGTGGTTCTCATAAGACGTTGCTTTTCGTATCCTTTCCTGATTTTTTTTCTGATGTTTCTTCCCGATATACAGCTGCCCCTTGGATGTCACAAGCGGTGCCCGACGTCAAGGATTGGGTTCGGAAGTTAGCCTCGACTTCCTCTTATGCCGAACGCGCTTGGCGTGATTTGACAAAAGGTAGATGGGAGGCCAGGAACCATGATAAGGGTTTACTTCTCGTTTCCTTCGAAGTGTTCTTTGTGCTCCATTCGTTACCAATTTCCTTTCATGCAGGTGTAACCAAGGACGCCGCTTTGAGGCCTTTGAGCGGTGAAGAAGGAACCAAGTCCCCGGTCCCGAAACCGGGGAAAGATAAGAAGCGAAAAGCTGTCTTTCGGTCAGAGGGCCCCAAGCCCAAAACTCTAAGGGCGAGGAGGAAGGCAATTGCTCTTCCGATTGACTCGGTCCAACGACTGAGAGAAGAAGAAGAAGAAGACGAGGAAGAAGAAGAAGGAGGTGCCTCGGCTTTGGTGATCCGATCTGCGAGAGCTATCGAGGTTACCAAAGCTCCTGAGCTGATGGCGGCTGTACCGATCGGGGTTGGCCCCGGGATCCCGAGTCTTGATCGGAACGCCCCGAGTGATTTGCTTGGGGCTATGACAGTGGGTTATTCGCCTTCCCTTCCTACTTTTTATGAGGAGGCATTAAAAGAAGCTAGAGAATTGAAGACCCCCGATATGTGCGGAGGCTCTAGTGTAGGGGATCCCTTTCGGGATTGCTTTACTGGAGTCGATGATGCTTCCGATATTGGGGACGCTTCTCTTCTACTAGAAGAGGCCCAGCGTTTCATTACTCGGGTAATGATTTTACTATACTTGGTTTCTTTGTTCTTTTCTGAATTTGACTCATGTTCTTTCCCTACTGTGCATGCTATTAGTAGGTTTCGAGTCGACCTTAGCCAGTGTGAGGTCGAGCTTCAGAAGGTCTCGGGGGAGAGAGACGCCCTGCGGCTTCTTTGCAGCAAAAAGGATGAGGCTATAAAGGACATCCAAGCGGATTTGGCTAAGGCTCGTGAAGAAGAGGCCGAACTTGATAAGCAGGTGAGCCTCGTTCTCTTAAAGTATGGATTTGACTCGACTGTGGAAGTTAACCCTTCGTAGTCTCAGCTGCAACAAAAGGTTGAAAAGATCGGGTCACTTCGAGAAGAAGTCGATCAAATCAAAGCTGAATGTAATCGGTGGAAGGAGACTATCGACTGCCTGGCTGCGGAAAAAGAGACCATTTTGACCAACTTATTATCGGCCGATGTTCATCTTCGAAACGTTAAGCAAAAGGGTTCCGCTCAAGCTAAGAGGATCGAGGAGCTTGAAGCTCGGCTTGCTGAAGCCAAGGCGGAGGTTGAGTCATCGAAAATCTTGGCGGATAAGTCCATTACCGTGTATCGGGCTGATACCGAGGCTGCTCAGATGGAGGCACGAGTGGCGGTGGATACTGCCGACACTCGAGCACATTGGATTGCCGAACTTGCTAAATGTAGGTCTCGGAGGGA